ATTGACCAAACTGCCAATTTCTGACCACTTTATTGGGTAGTTAAAATAGGTGAATGGGTGGTTTCTTGTACTCAGTCGACAGAATAGAAATAAGTAAATAAGTAAGTTTATTCAGGCATACACAAATACAGTTATATAGATTATTATACACAGCAGTGTATGTATAGAGAACCTAGGATAACCCAAAAAAGTCAGACGAAGTGACTTATTTCCAGCACCTGGCTTGGGCTTGCCATATATGATTTTTGGTAAATATTTTTTTTCTCAGTTATTTGTTGGGCTATCTTATTGAAACTTGGGCAATGTATGAGGGAAATATGCTTCTTAACCCTCTGACTGTTTTGGTCGTATATATACGTTTTACACATCTTACGAGCCACTGTTTTTTACTTATATATATTCATAAATTCTAGCAGCTTCAAATCAAGCAAGAGAAAGCTGGTAGGTTCACATGTGAGACAATGGGTCTGTGTGGTCAACGTGCACCATACAAAAAAAATCCTGCCCCATGCAGTGCATAATGTGAAAAAAAAACTCCGACTGACTTTTTTTTAATTAACCCTTTAAGGGTTTCGGCCGTACTAGTACGGTTTATGCACCACGGTTTTTGATGTACTAGTACGCCTAAATTCTAGCGCCCTCAAATCTAGTGACAGAAAGCTGGTAGGCCTACATATGAAAGAATGGGTCTATGTGGTCAGTGTGTGCGGTATAAAAAAAATCCTGCAGCACACAGTGCGTAATGAGAAAAAAAACTTAGACCGTGTTTTTGGATTAAAACAGCGAATTTGCACTGTATTTTCGTATGGTATTTATTGTTGTATTCTAGTTTTCCTGGTCTCATTGTATAGAATGGAAGACATATTACAGAAATTGAGATAATTTTGACTGGTTTTACAAAGAAAAGTACCTTGAAATTGAGCTCAAAGTAGCAGAAACGTTCGATTTTTACCAAAGTTCAAAAGTAAACAAATCATGCTATGCGTCCAATAGACGTCAACTGGCGAGTCTAATATTCTTTCACAAATGCGCTGATATTATTTATACCATTTCTACACTAATGCAGTAGTCTGCATAACAGTAAATCTTCTACTTTTTTGTGAGAATAAAAATTCAAAGTGGAAAGCAAAAGAATGTAAGAGGGGCATGGGGATGTGACTAATGAACAGAGGAAATGTTATTTTAGTGCTAGGAATGTCTTTCTTGGTTTTTCTGGACCCTATTCGGAAATTGGCATCTTTTGAAATTTGCGTGAAATTGGCAAAATTACTAAATTCTGGCCACTGTATTGGATAGTTGAAATCGGTAAATGGGTGGTTTCTTGTACTCACTCAATAGAAAAAATGGAGTTCTAGCGAAATAGTTATGATTTTTGTCGACAAGTACACTGGAATTGGCCGAAAATAGGGCTCAAAGTGGGCAAAATTGCCAAAGCATAAACATCGTCAAGACTGCTAACTTCGCGAGAGCATAATTTCTTAAGTTTTCCATCAAATTTCATACATTTGGTGTCATTATGATCGGGAAAAGATTCTCTATCTTTTCATAAGAAATTTTTTTTTTTTTTTTTTTTTGAAATTTGGCTGACCCTGAGAACAAGTCTCTGAAAGGGCCTGTTGACCCTGAAAAGGTCAAAATGCCAACTTTGTGGTCTATTTTCGTATAGTATTTATGGTTGTATTCTGGTTTTCTTGGTCTCATTTGATAGAATGGAAAACATGTTATAGAAATAGAGGTGATTTTGATTGGTTTTACTATGAAAAGAACCTTGAAATGGAGCTCAGTGTAGGGGAAATATTTGATTTTTGCCAATGTTCAAAAGTAAACAGATGATGTCATTTTCCAATAAATGTTCATGTAGCCATTCTAATATGCAGTCATGAATGGGTTGACATTATTTATACAATTATTACAATATTGCAGTAGTCTGCATAAATCTTCTATTTTTTGTATGAATAAAAATTCAAAATAGAAAGCAAGAGTAATATCAGAGGGGCCTGGAGACGTGACTGATGAACAAAGAAAATGTTATTTTAGAGCCAGGAATGTCTGCATTGTTCATTCTGGACCCTATTTTGAAATTGCCATATTTTTTAATTGTCGTGAAATTGGCCAAATTGCAAATTTCTGACCACGTTATTGGGCAGTTGAAATCAGTAAATGGGCAGTTTCTTGTACTCAATCGATAGAGAAAAATGGAGTTGTAAAGAAATAGCTATGAGTTAGGTCGACTGGAACAATGGAATTAGCCGAAAATAGGGCTCAAAGTGGGCGAAATCGCAGATTTGTAAATATCGCCGAGGTCGCTAACTTTGCGAGAGCGTAATTCCTTCAGTTTTCCATCAAATTTCATTCATTTGGTGTCATTACAAGCTACTGTACTGCTAGTTGGCTGAGGCTCACCCACACATGCTGACCATTGTATATATACCGAATCTCAAATTTTCCTTTGTAACTCAAAACTAAATTCCTTCATGAGGGTAAATTGTAACTCAAAATGATCATAACTCAAGGGACCACTGTACATATGAACAAGGGTTGTAATATATTAATTAATAATTAACTTTGGTAGGTGAGAAAAATGGCAATAATGCTGATTTATAGAGAACATTGCGCATCGCCCCAGAAGTTACTTGAACTGGACGTGTCCACCCCTCACAAGGAAGGGATTCACAGCCAGTGGCTATAATTTTACCTAACTGAACTTCCTCCTGTATTGATCATGTCCACCATTCATCACAGACTTACAGTCATTGGCAATGTTGAATTATGATCAGCCTAGAAAAGTGAAGTGCCAGGAATGAAGGAGCTCTGCTAGACTGCTTCACCTTAAATGGAATAGGAGCATTTTTTTTTTTGTTGTTGTTGGTTGTTATAGTGCTCTTTCTGCTAGAAATGGACCCATTCTACAGCTGAATTACTGCAGTAATAAAATGGGAACCCTTTTTCCAATACACATGTCAGTTCTTTAGAGTACACTCCAGTACCAATATTTTCAACATCCACAATGCTCATTCAATTAATACATTACTTTCTCATTTCTCACTTCTCAGACAAATAGAGAAATTAAAACCTAACAAATCTCTAGGCCCTGATGAATTGTTTGCAAGGGCTTTAAAGGAATGTAAAGAGGAATTTTGCATACCTTTGGCTAATCTTTTCAATATATCACTACAAACTGGCATAGTGCCAGACAAGTGGAAAATGGTAAATGTAATACTTATTTACAAGGCAGGTGACAGGTCCTTAGCTTCGAACTATAGACCAATAAGCCTTACCTCTTTAGTGGGAAAATTTATGGAATCAATAATTGCCGAGGCAATTCGTAGCCATCTTGAAAGGAATAAATTGATTAATGAATCTCAGCACAGTTTTACAAAGGGGCGTTCCTGTCTTACAAATTTACTAACTTTTTTCACTAAGGTATTTGAGGAGGTAGATCATGGTATTGAATATGATATTGTATATATGGCCTTCAGTAAGGCTTTCTATAGAGTTCCACATCAGAGGCTATTGAGGAAATTTAAGGCACACAGAAAAGGAGGAGAATTTTTTTCCTGGGTAGAGGCATGGTTGCCAAACAGGCAGTAGAAAGTTTGCATAAATTGGCAGAAATCAGAATGGGGCACATCACAAGCGGTATTCCACAGGGCCCCTTGTTGTTCACGATTTACATAAACGACATAGATGAGGGAATAAACAGCGACATAAGCAAATTTGCCGATGTCACAAAAATAGGCCATCCAATTCACTCTAATGAGGAACATTAGAGCACTTCAGGATGATTTGAATAGACATGCAGTGGTCAGAGAAGTGGCAGGTGCAGTTTAATATAGACAAATGCAAAGTTCTAAACGTTGGCCAGGAAAATAACCATGCCACATATAAACTAAATAATGTAGATCTTAATTTTACTGACTGCAAAAAGGATTTAGGAGTTCTGGTTAGTAGTAATCTGAAACCAAAACAACAGTGCTTTAGAGTTTGCAATACAGCTAACAGAATCATTGGCTTCATTATCAAGAAGTATAAATAATAGAAGTCCTCAGGTTGTTCTTCAACTCTATATATCTTCGGTTATGTCTCATTTAGATTATGCTGCACAGTTCTGGTCACCATTTTACAGAATGGATATAAATGCACTGGAAAACGTACGAAGGAGGATGACAAAGTTGATCCCATGTATCAGAAATCTTCCCTATGAGGATAGACTGAGGGCCCTGAATCTGCACTCTCCAGAAAGGAATAGAATTAGGGGGGATATGATTGACGTGTATAAATGGAAAACAGGAATAAATAAAGGGGATGTAAATCGCGTGCTAAAAATATCTAGCCAAGACAGGACTCACAGCAATGATTTTAAGTTGGAAAAATTCAGATTCAGGAAGGATATAGGAAATCACTGGTTTGGTAATAGAGTTGTGGATGAGTGGAACAAACTCCCGAGTACTGTCATAGAGGCTAAGACATTGAGTAGTCTTAAAAATAGGTTCGGTAAATACACGAGTGGGTGTGGGTGGGTGCGAGTTGGACCTGACTAGCTTGTGCTACTAGGTCAGATGCCGTGCTCCTTCCTAAAGTGAATGTTAATAACTTGCATGAGCCAGTAGGCCTGTTGCAGTGTCCCTTCTTTCTTATGTTCATATGCTGATTAATGAAATCCACAATCTTTCCACACATTGTCAGTGAACTCAGGTAAAGATCAATTAACTGATGTGATAGCTAACCAACATGTGGGATTCTCTGACAAATACTTTAGGCACTCTTCAGTCTTTGACACTAAGGAATATGAAATGATGAGAAAAGATTCTACACAAGGCCACCCATTCTAGGATGTAATGTTAGCAGATGGAACAAGATGCCAATGAAATACGTACATTACGTATACTAGATAGGTAGAGTGAGAATAAAGAAATGTGACTTTCTTTATACTTAACAAATGTGAAAATGTACTCCAGTAGATTCAAAGAATAAAAATAAAAATGTATAGAAAACCTTACCTTTCTAGGGCTACCTGTAGACAATTCTTCTTTAATAGTAGCTAAAGGTTTGTCATCTGAATCCGAACCAGAATCTTCATTGCCATTAAGTATCAAGCCTCCTTGCTGTTTTCTTGGACTTTCAGCCTGAAAACAGTCACAGTAAATGAATTCCAAATAAAAGAATGAAGGCGCACCACAGTATCTCTATTGGCCCATGCTAGGGAGATATAGCACAGCCAACCCTTTTAAAAATTGCCCATTTTTAACGCTGCCTAGTGACATAACTTGACAGTTTGCAATGCTCGTCCACAACTCCTCTTGCCAAATTTGTCCTTTTCTACATGCAATAGAAACTTATCCAATACAAGTGCCCAAAACTTCACCAGCCCCTGAAAAGTTGAACAAAGAAGCCTACAAGGTCTGTATTAAGTAAGTACCACCGAGGAAATCTAGAAGATTAAATATAAGTAGAGAGCATAGAAGATGGTACAAAAGAAAAAGTGTTAGCAAACTGCTTAAAAACATTGGTTGATAGACAGCAACCATCCAGGGAGGTACTATTGTCCTGTCAAGCGAGTAAAACAAAATCCTGTAATTGTTTTACATTATGGTAAGACTGCTGGTGTCTCACTTCTGTCTCATAAACATGCAAGTTTTCAGGTACGTCTTCCTACTTCTACTTACACTTAGATCACACTAAACATATTTGTACACATTTATGTATACACACTCCTCTGAGTTTTCTTTGATTTTATCTTAATAGTTCTTGTTCTCATTGCTTTTCGTTTAATATCCATGGAGAAGTGAAATAAGAATCTTTCCTCCGTAAGCCATGCGTGTTGTAAAAGTCAACTAAAATGCAGGGAACAATGGCCTAGTAACCCCTTTTCCCGTATAGTAAACTAAAAAGAAAAAGAAGAAAACCATCAAACTGGGATGTTTGAATGTGCATGGATGTTCTGCGAATGATAAGAAAGAGATGATTTTTTTTTTTTTTCAACAAGTCGGCCGTCTCCCACCGAGGCAGGGTGACCCAAAAAAGAAAGAAAATCCCCAAAAAGAAAATACTTTCATCATTCAACACTTTCACCACACTCACACAGTATCACTGTTTTTGCAGAGGTGCTCAGAATACAACAGTTTAGAAGCATATACATATAAAGACACACAACATATCCCTCCAAACTGCCAATATCCCAAACCCCTCCTTTAAAGTGCAGGCATTGTACTTCCCATTTCCAGGACTCAAGTCCGACTATATGAAAATAACCGGTTTCCCTGAATTATTTTTTTCTTTTATTATCACACTGGCCGATTCCCACCAAGGCAGGGTGGCCCGAAAAAGAAAAACTTTCACCATCATTCACTCCATCACTGTCTTGCCAGAAGGGTGCTTTACACTACAGTTTTTAAACTGCAACATTAACACCCCTCCTTCAGAGTGCGGGGCCTGTACTTCCCTCTCCAGGACTCAAGCCCGGGCCTGCCGGTTTCCCTGAATCCCTTCATTAATGTTACTTTGCTCACCTCCAACAGCACGTCAAGTATTAAAAAACCATTTGTTCCATTCACTCCTATCAAACACGCTCAGCATCCCTGCTGAAGTCCAACCCCCTCGCACACAAAACCCCCTTTTTACCCCCTCCCTCCAACCCTTTCCTAGGCCGACCCCTACCCCGCCTTCCTTCCACTACAGACTGATACACTCTTGAAGTCACTCTGTTTCGCTCCATTCTCTCTACATGTCCGAACCACCTCAAAACCCTTCCTCAGCCCTCTGGACAACAGTTTTGGTAATCCCGCACCCCCTCCTAAACTTCCAAACTAACGAATTCTCGCATTATATTCACACCACACATTGCCCTCAGACATGACATCTCCACTGCCTCCAGCCTTCCCCCTCGCTGCAACATTCATCACCCACGCTTCACACCCATATAAGAGCGTTGGTAAAACTATACTCTCATACATTCCCCTCTTTGCCTCCAAGGCCCAAAGTTCTTTGTCTCCACAGACTCCTAAGTGCACCACTCACTCTTTTTCCCTCATCAATTCTATGATTCACCTCATCTTTCAAAAGACCCATCCGCTGACACGTCCATTTCCCAAATATCTGAATACGTTCACCTCCTCCTACTCTCTCCCTCCAATCTGATATTCAATCTTTCATCACCTAATCTTTTTGTTATCCTCATAACCTTACTCTTTCCTGTATTCACCTTTAATTTTCTTCTTTTGCACCACCCTACCAATATTCATCCCCAATCTCTGCAGCTTCTCTTGAGAATCTCCCAAGAGCACAGTGTCATCAGCAAAGAGCAGCTGTGAAAAACTCCCACTTTGTTTTGTGATTCTTAATCTTTTAACTCCACGCCTCTTGCCAAGAACCCTCGCATTTACTTCTCTTACAACCCCATCTATAAATATATTAACCAACCATGGTGACATCACACATCCTTGTCTAAGGCCTACTTTTACTGGGAAAAATTTTCCCTCTTTCCTATATACTCTAACTTGACCCTCACTATCCTCGTAAAACTCTTCCCCTGCTTTCAGTAACCTACCTCCTACACCATACACTTGCAACATCTGCCACATTGCCCCCTATCCACCCTGTCATACGCCTTTTCCAAATCCATAAATGCCACAAAGCCCCCTCTTTAGCCTTATCTAAATACTGTTCACTTATAGTTTCACTATAAAACACCTGACCCACAAAAACCCCCTACCTTTCCTAAAGCCTCCTTGTTCATCTGCTATCCTATTCTCCGTCTTACTCTTAATTCTTTAAATTATAACTCAAACCATACACTTTACCAGGTACCCCTCAACAGACTTATCCCCCTTAATTTTTTGCACTCTTTTTATCCCCTTTGCCTTTATACAAAGGAACTATGCATGCTCTCTGCCAATCCCTAGGTACCTTACCCTCTTCCATACTTTTAAATAAATAATTGCACCAACCCTCCAAAACTATATCCCCCACCTGCTTTTAAATTTCTATCTTTATCCCATCAACCCCGGCTGCCTTCCCCCCTTTCATTTTACCTACTGCCTCACGAACTTCCCCCACACTCACAACTGGCTCTTCCCTCACTCCTGCAAGATGTTTTTCCCTCCTTGCCCTATACACGAAATCACAGCTTCCCCTATTTTCCCATAAAACATTTAACAATTCCTCAAAATATTCCCTCCATCTTCCCAATACCTCTAACTCTCCATTTAATAACTCTCCTCTCCTATTTTTAAATGACAAATCCATTTGTTCTCTAGCTTTCTTAACTTGTTAATCTCACTCCAAAACTTTTTCTTATTTTCAACAAAATATGTTGATAACATCTCACCCCTCTCTCATTTGCTCTCTTTTTACATTGCTTCCCACTTTCTTAACCTCTTCTCTTTTTCTCCATATACTCTTCCCTCCTTGCATCACTTCTACTTGTAAAAAGTTTCTAAATATGCTAACTTTTTCTCCTTACTACTCTCTTTACATCATCATTCCACCAATCGCTCCCCCTTCCCCCCTGCACCCACTTTCCTGAAACCCAAACAAACTTCTGCTGAACACTCTAACACTACATTTTTAAACCTACCCCATACCTCTTCGACCCCATTTGCCTATGCTCTCATTAGCCCATCTATCCTCCAATAGCTGTTTATATCTTGCCCTAACTGCCTCCTCTTTTAGTTTATAAAACCTTCACCTCTCTCTTCCCTGATGCTTCTATTCTCCTTGTACCCCATCTACCTTTTACTCTCAGTGTAGCTCAACTAGAAAGTGATCTGATATATCTGTGGCCCTCTATTAAACATGTACATCCTAAGTCTACTCAACAGTCTTTTATCTACCAATACATAATCCAACAAACTACTGTCATTTCACCCTACATCATATGTGTATGCTTATTTATCCTCTTTTTCTTAAAAATATGTATTACCTATAACTAAACCCCTTTCTATACAAAGTTCAATCAAAAAGGGCTCCCATTTCATTTACACCTGGCACCCCCCCAAATTACCTACCACACCCTCTTAAAAGTTTCTCCTACTTTAGCATTTAGGTCCCCTACCACAATTACTCTCTCACTTGGTTTAAAGGCTCCTATACATTCACTTAACCCTCTCCCAAAATCTCTCTCTCTCTCTGCATTCCTCTCTTCTCCAGGGGCAAAGCACGCTTATTATAAAACCCCCTTCTCGCATCCAACCTTTTACTTTAATCTACATAATTCTTGAATTTACACATCCATATTCTCTTTTCTCCTTCCATAACTGATCATTTAACATTACTGCTTTCTACCCTTCCTTTGCTCTAACTCTCTCAGATACTCCAGATTTAATCCCATTTATTTCCCGCCACTGAAACTCTCCTACCCCCTTCAGCTTTGTTTCGCTTAGGGCCAGGGCATCCAACTTCTTTTCATTCATAACATCAGCAATCATCTGTTTCTTGTCATCCGCACTACATCCACGCACATTTAAGCATCCCAGTTTTATAAAGTTTTTCTTCTTCTCTTTTTTAGTAAATGTATACAGGAGAAGGGGTTACTAGCCCATTGCTCCCGGCATTTTAGTCGCCTCATACGACACGCATGGCTTACGGAGGAAAGATTCTTTTCCACTTCCCCATGGACAATAGAAGAAATAAAAAAGAACAAGAGCTATTTAGAAAAAGGAGAAAAACCTAGATGTATGTATTATTTTATTTTTTTTATTATCACACTGGCCGATTCCCACCAAGGCAGGGTGGCCCGAAAAAGAAAAACTTTCACCATCATTCACTCCATCACTGTCTTGCCAGAAGGGTGCTTTACACTACAGTTTTTAAACTGCAACATTAACACCCCTCCTTCAGAGTGCAGGCACTGTACTTCCCATCTCCAGGACTCAAGTCCGGCCTGTATGTATATATATATATATATATGCATGTGCGTGTCTGTGAAGTGTGACCAAAGTGTAAGTAGGAGAAGCAAGATATCCCTGTTATCTAGCGTGTTTATGAGACAGAAAAAGAAACCAGCAATCCTACCATCATGCAAAACAGTTACAGGTTTTTGTTTCACAGTCATTTGGCAGGACGGTAGTACTTCCCTGGGTGGTTGCTGTCTACCAACCTACTACCTGAATCCCTTCACTAAATATTA